GTTTTTGTACAGGTTATGTGGAACGGTGTTCATCATAAAAGACAATTTGGCAAGACATTTTAAGATAATGGTGAGTTTTTATTTATTGTATATTTTTTCAAAAATTTTAAGTATATTATTTTTTAGTTGAACAAATCCAATCTACTGGAAGTGCCACGACCCAAACCAGTGCGAGCTCTAGCGATCTCTGCGTTTCTGCGGCAACCGCAAAAACGCACAGTGTGCCACGGGGCTTAGCTGCCTTTCTCCCAATTCATCGGAGCCAACATACCAACAGAGTTCAAAATGATCAAGCTGTTGAACAGGAATTGGATGTGAGAGGACATTCTCCGATGTCTTTGAAACAAATTTCGAAGTACAAACAACTCAACAATATTTCTAATAATGTTTTTGGGCTCGAGAAGCCAACGCTATGATCTCACCACCCTCGATCGCACCCCAGCGCTCACTGCCCTGACGCCTGCCCTCCTCCCCTGGCGCCGAAACCCCATCTCCCTATACTAAAGATCAATCTAAATGAATATGTTACAGTTGATGATAATTCAATTTATCACTTCTTCCAAGTGATGCTGGACTTATGAGCTTATTTGTCTGAATGTACAAGGTGATTCAAACTTCCCGCCCTTGGCTTATAACAGGAAAAGGAAAACTGCAAATACAAATTTCGAAGACAGGATTTGAATGGCAGTGTGCAAGGTATATTTTTTCGTATTTTAACATTTTTCAACTTTTTTCAAAATGGTGGAAATGACGTCAAAAAAATATTTTTTTCACAAAGTCATCATTTTTTATATTCTGAGAGAACATATTTTTTTAAACAACTTTCATTAAAAAAGTTTTTTTCTATCTTTATTTGTTTACAAGCTATGAGACTCTAAAGATGACATTTTTAAAAGAATCTCAACTTACCCCTTCAGTCAAATTAAAATAGAGAAAAACTTTTTTAATGAAAGTTGTTTAAAAAAATATGTTCTTTCAGAATATGAAAAAAAAACGATGACTTTGTGAATTTTTTTTTGACGTTATTTCAACCATTTTGAAAAAAGTTGAAAAATGTTTAAATACGAAAGAATATACCTTACACACTGCCATTCAAATCCTGTCTTCGAAATTTGTATTTGGAGTTTTCCTTTTCCTGTTATAAGCCAAGGGCGGGAAGTTTGAATCACCCTGTACCTATGTACTCCTATTTTTAGCCATAAACAATGCATTCCGATATATGTATATAAAGTCCGAAATACTTTTTTAACATTTCATACAACCTATTTCAGAATTAAAGTTTTTTTATTCAATCAGGCATTATTAAAATGCCTACATTTTCTTATTTTCGTACCTTAAAAGCTTCTTTTCAAAAAAAGCCCAATGGGTATTTCGCCACTTGTACTGTAACAAAATCAACAAAATAAAATACATTTTAACAGAAAGTGTTCTTGAACAGTTCTATTTAGATATTTTAAATTGTTTTTTTATTTGTTCTTTGTGTTTTTTGCTTCCAACGACAGGAAGAGATATACGTCCCGAAACGCTAAGCATTTTTTGTCCGTTAAGGGCCGGCTACACGTACAAGCTTTACTACGAGCTTACCTGCGCAAACCTGTTTGTATCGGGAACTCGCTGTGTGTAGACGGTAAAACGGTAGCACGCACAAACCAACAAGCGCGGCCTGCGTAAACGTCGCGCTGCTAAAGATTTTAGTTTGCGCAAACCAGTTTGTGCGGTGATATCATACGTGTAGACGGTATCAGCGAGTTCAAGGTACAGTTTTATGACTTTTGTGGGTTTTGTGTTATTAGTTATCAACTCTTAGAAAATGTCTGATATTCGTACTTATTCCAATAAGGAGTTTATGACGAGCTTTATTGAAATATATTGATCGTTGCCATGTCTATGGAAGATAAAATTGAAAAATTATTCCGATAGAAACAGAAAAAATGATGTGTACAAGAAAATGGTTTTCTATTTAAGTGAGTTTTTACTCCACTTCGATCTATACCGTTTATTTTGCTGTTTTTTCTTTAATAATAAGCAAGAAAAAACAATAATTCGTCACTTGACATTTCCACGGAACCACAAATTCAGAATAAAAATAATGACGAATGTACGCTCTTGCTTGCATCGTGTGGACACCAGGGGTGCAAGGGGTATTGAAGCGATACATATAGCCTAGCTTACCCAAAAGTCAACCTCACCTTCACGTGGTGCACCCTGTTTACACAAACGAGGCTCTGACGTCCGAGTATAGGCGGTATAACCTTATACAACCCTCAGACCTACCATCTTCTGGGGAAAAGGAGTAATAAAATACACCTAGCCGGCCGAGAACGTAGCACAAGGGAACTATCGTCGCAGTCCTCACTGTGCCATAGCCATCCCGTGCTACAGTTGCAGCCAAAACTGTGCGGCAGCGTAACCGCCACAGTTAAACCTTTTCACGCAGCTTACACACAGCAATGATGGAACATTCGAGTGGGACAAAATTATCGTCCGGAGGTAAAATACCCCTCAATCGGATCTCCGGGAGGGGGTGCCTACTCGAGCGTATCATCGGAGAAACAAAAAACATCAATGTTTCACGTTCGCGGCGTGGAACGTCCGCACTCTACTGGACAAGATAAATTCAAATCGACCAGAGAGAAGAACAGCACTGGTCTCACAGGAACTCCACCGATTAAATATAGATGTTACCGCTCTAAGCGAAACACGCTTTGCAGATGAAGGTAGTCTCACTGAGGAGCATTACACCTTCTTTTGGAAAGGTCATCCCGCAACACACAGGAGAATTCATGGTGTAGGCATTGCGATCAAAAACGAAATCGCCACCAAGTTAACAGAAGTACCTATTGGTGTCTCCGAACGTCTTATGACCCTAAGGTACCCCATATCAGACAAAACTTACGTCAACATCATTAGTGCCTACGCTCCCACCCTTGACGCTAAAATTGAAGATAAGGATAAATTTTACCAAGCTTTACAAAATGCCCTTCAACGAATTCCAAAGCACGAACGAATCATCTTGCTAGGTGACTTTAATGCCCGTGTAGGCAAACAACAGGAAATATGGCCTGACGTATTGGGAAAACATGGAATGGGAAACGCAAATAGCAATGGTGAACGCTTATTAACAACATGCGCAGAGTATAATCTTTGCATCACCAATACGTGGTTCATGTTGAAGGACAAGTTTAAAGGTACCTGGAAACATCCTAGATCAGGCCACTGGCATCAATTGGACCACATAATCGTTCGAAGGACGCATCTAAAAGATGTTAGGCTCACAAAAGCTAGAGTAGATGCCGAATGCGGCACTGACCACCGACTTTTAATTTCAAAAATGAAAATCCAGTTAAAACCCAAACATCCACGCTGTAAAAAGCAAAACAACATGACCAGATTGAACGTACGGGGTCTAGAAAACAACAATACCGCCGACGCCCTCCGGGAAGCCATCAAAGAATCACTTCCACCGATAACTTCAATCTCAGTATTGGAAGCTGAACAAGGCTGGACACAATTAAGGGATGCGATTCATAAAACCAGCGAAGCAGTACTGGGAAAGTCGAACAAAAAGAAACAACCAGACTGGTTTGACGAAAATCAACCGCATATACAGGCTTTGTTGGAACAAAAGCATAGAGCATATCAAGCCGTCACTGCAAATCCACATAATCCAAGCTGGTAGACAACTTTAAAGCAGCCAACAACACGCTTCGAAGAGAACTGCGCCAAGTAAAGGATAACTGGTGGTCACAAAAGCGAATCAGATTCAAGAGTACGCCACGCATCACGATTACAGTATACCGAGCAATTATAATCCCCACCATGATATATGGGAGCGAAACCTGGGTGCCTTACCGCCGACACATGAACGCATTGAACAAGTTGCAACAGAGACACCTTAGACAACTCTTAAGAGTCCGGTGGTTCCATCATGTCTCAAACGTATCGGTCCTTGAAAAATCTAACTGCGAGAGTATTGAAGTCATGGTCACAAAATCCCGCTTAAGATGGGCTGGTCACGTATGCAGAATGCAAGAAAACCGCATACCAAAATCTCTGCTTTACGGTGAGCTTGTGGACGGTAAGAGGAGGCCGGGTGGACAACTGAAAAGATACAAGGACATTTTCCACGAAAATTTAAAGGGAATTAACATGCAGAATGAGTGGGAAAAAAGCAGCTCACAATAGAACTCAATGGAGAAAGGGTTGTAAACTCAGTTAACAGCGGCAACAAAAAGTAGAGAGGCAACAAAGCAATGAGATTTTTGAATGTCCGGAGTGCGGTAGGCAGATAACATCACGTATCGGGCTTTTCAGTCACAGAAAAGCTCATGAAAGAAAACGCCTTGCGTGACCATTTTGTTTATGTGTGTCGAATACTCGTCAGCGAGTAACGGCTGTATGTATGTATGTATGTGTGGACACCGCACAGTATTCCTTCTAGTTTGCGCAAACTATACCGTGCAGGCAAGTTGATGTCGTGTAGCCGCCGCTTTAGGCAAATTTGTATATTAGTCAATAACTGCTGACAAGCTAGTCTCCTTTGGATTAACGCAGAAGCGTTTACAAAAAGTAATTATTTATTTTTTAGATTTCCTTACAGTACAAGTGGCGAAATACCCATTGGACTTTTTTGAAGAGATGAATCCGCCACAGAGGTATACATTTTTTTTCTTTATAATATATAAACATAAAATTTCTTATAACGCATAGTTTTTTCTGTCCCTTCGTTATAACCGAGTTCGACTGTATTTAATTACACAACTGAAAAAATTACACACATGATAATCATTCACACGATTCACAAAAATTATTAAAAATAAATTTAAAAAATAAATTTCTATGTTTTTTGTATTAGATATAAATTTTTGAAAAAAATGTCAATGTTTAATAAATCACATCTAGATCACCTGACAAACATAATATTTCATTAAATTATCAGTGGCCTTATTAAAACAAAAAAGTCATATAATCTACATTTACTTCCTAAAATTCATACTTACTTTTCCACACTATTAAATGAATCGTGGTTATTTAAAAAACACGTTATTAATGCAGCCGTTGCTTCAGACAAATGAAATTCATTTTCTTCACTTTGCCAGAAATCCAAATTTACTGACAAAGTAATTAAACTAAAAAAAAATAAAAATTAAAAAACTGTTTACAATTAGACTATTAGAGTACTTACTGGTTGTATACTTGAATTAACCTTTCAAATGGAATATTCACGGATGCTAACATAGTTGATACCAAATGTTTATCTCCTTTAAGTTTTGCATTAACCATTTCTAATTCTCCCACTATATAAGCTACAGAAAAAAAGTACCATTAAACACCTACTTATATAATTAATAAAATAATACTCACCAAGTGGAAAACAATTATTTGAGTTAATGTATTGTCTTGCTAAATGTTTTACTTTACTTAGAACCTGACTCATCCTATCAGTGCCACTACCTGAAGACTTTCTCAGTTCATTAGCTAGAATTTGTTGCCATATTGATTTTACTAAAGCATTATCACTTTCAGTATATCCTGCACAATCAATAATAGCTAACTGGCATTCTAAAAGACTGAATGGTTCCGCAAAGTTCTCATAAAGCTAAAAAGAGCACAATATGTCATGAATTTTTATGTAAGTCAATTGAATTATTAAATAGAATAATGTTTACAGAATATTTGTAAATTAAATCATAAAAATTTTAGTACAGCAGTACAATTATCAAATTAATGATAAATAATATAATAATAATTAATATATAATAATAATAATTAATAAAACAATTAATGCTAAAAAATGAACACTACAACTATATTAATCAGAAAAATATCTGAATGTTTTGTACAAGTGGACAAGGCAGTTATTTCTAAATAACAGTTAGAATGGGGAACTTTCCAATTTTTTTTGTTTCAATAATATCATTCATTCAGTTATGTATAAAAATATGATAAAAATACTTCAAAGAACCGCGCCAAGCCAGATGACGTCTAAGCAGGGTTGGGTAGCGACGCGTAGAAAATAAAATGAATTTTTAATTAGAATAGTAATTAGAAAATGTAGAATATATAGCATATTAAGTAGAAAATGTATAAAATCTGAGAACAAGTAGAAAATTAATTTTATATATTTAAAGCCGTTTTTTTTTCATTTTAGAAGTTTCTTTGTTTCTATGTTGTTTAAATTCTATAAGTGTGAAAACTGTAATACACAGGGTGTCCCAGAAATAAGTGCAAGTATTTTAAGGGGTGGTAGATCTCGATAAAAGAAACATATTTTCTCTTTATGGTTTTTCAAATAAGTCCAAAATAAGGAAGTTATTTTACTTTGAAAATTTCCAAAACAAATGATTTTTTGCTATGTGATGTCGTCTTATTCCAATACGGGAAAAATCAAACACATGTTCACCCTTTGAATACATTTATTCGAATTAGCTAACCTAGTTACAAAAAATGGTATGCTATGCTTTTGTTGTTGCAATAATTAATGAAATATTAAACAAACAATTGTTGGGTAACCAGGTCGCACTACAGCTAAAATTTTGAGAACCACTGGATTTTCTTTCTTGTAGATTTAATCTAATATCTATGTTGCCATATTATCAAGAAATTATGTTTTTTAACTAAAAACTAAAAAAATTTCCAAACATTTTTTCAAGAAATTTCGAATTTTCAAAAAAAATTTATTCGTGAAAAAAACCTCATAGGCGTGTTTCTGGGGTTGAACTATACTGCCAGTTAAAATACTTGCACTTATTTCTAGGACACCCTGTATGTACGCGCGCTATATCTCTATTCTTTAACGGTACTAACTCCCTGAAGATAAGAGACAGTAATCGATCTGAAGACGATAAGAATTTTTTTTTTTGTTTAATCTGAATATAGTCTGATTTTTTTTCCTTGAAAGTTTTCGTTGTTCCTTTTTTTAATTTTACCATAAAAAGCCTGTGGCTTCATAAACTATATCTGAATTGTAAAAAAATGTCTATACCTATGTGGCGGATTCATCTTTCCAAAAAAATCCTTTATGGGTATTTCGCCACTGCACTGCAACCCAATGAATACAGAACAACAAACAAAAAATGTAATATACCAAATACCCTGTGAATGCAATAAATTTTACATTGGTGAAACATCTAGACCCTTAAATGTTAGAATTAAAGAACATAAAGATTATTTACGAAAGGGAGATTTTCACATATCTAAGATTTGTCAGCATTCTTGGGACACAGGGCACAGAATAAATTTTAATAACGCCAAAATTATAATGAAAGAAGCGATGGCCTCTAAAAGAAAAATAAAAGAGGCTTTTATCTAATAAAAATAAATGTATTGCTCATGCATCTGTAGATGTTAGTAATGTATGGCAATCCTTTCTTTGATTTTAAAGAACAATAGATACAACAAGATAAATAAACATAACATATGTAAAATTTAAAAATAATCATACAGAAAGTTTGGGGCTTTTTGGTTTTACCTTATTAAGTAATTGTTATCAGGTACTAATTGTTAATTTTGAAGTTTAAATATCAAGTTAAAAACGTCATTTTAACAGAACGTCAACGATTTCTTGTAGACGTATCTATTTTAAAAAAGTAAAGTGTTCTCGAATAGTTGAATTTAAATATTTTAAATAGTTTTTTTCTTTATTCTTTGTATTTTTTTTGCTTCCGACGACGGAAAGAGATAACTTTCCGAAACGTTAAGCATTTTATTTTTCTTTGTTAGGCAAATTTGTATTACTGTAAACATAACTTCTGACAAGCAGCGTCCGTTTAGGTTTAACGCCAGAAGTGTTTACAAAAAATAATTATTTTATTTTGTAGATTTTTTTGCAGTGCAGTGGCGAAATTGTTTTACTTTCATTATGTTAGATATTATCATTTTTTTTTGTTGTTCTGTTTGAGTCTTACCAAAGTTTACAGAATTGCACAGAATTATTCTGTAAACTTTAATCTTACTATTGAAAAATTCTGAGATATCTGCAAACTTCGACTATAGTGTGTAACAAATCAAGGAAGATTTTGACAGACGACATCCAAAAAATGACTGAAAATACGATATGCCTGTGAATTATAATGACGCAGCAGTCACTGTCAAGCATCCTCCTAAGTTAATAGTTATAGTTAAGCTTTTTTGACATACGTACATAAATAACAATTAGAGATACTGTTATTAGTTTATTTCTGGTACTAATCGTTGTGATTAATGTAACGATGAGAGCGGCGCGTTGCTTCATCAATGTGAGCGCTCTCATTTAAAATCCACACCTTGAATTATTTTGAGGCGCCGCTCAAACGGCATCGCGCAGCTATCATCAAGCGCACTCACTGTTGCTGGACTATTACATTTTAGAACAATTGTTACAAGTTCGGTATATTATCGTAACTCTGTGAGTGCACTGGTATTATTTTATAATGTAAAAACTGTTGCAAGAAAATGTTTCTAAATAGCATTGGTAAAATAACAGACAGATTATTAACAAGCCATCTGTAGTATTTTGTCTCTATGCTGTAAATGATGCAATACCTTGGTGTTGGGTTTGTTACATAAAAATATGTAGCTATGTCACCTTTAAATATTAAAAATGTTAGAAATTAAATAAAATTCGCATATATTTTCTGTAATGAACCTATCACAAAGCTATAGAAATAATTATTATTTTTTATTATATCCAATTATTATTTATATTTGATACCAATTAAACTTTTAGTTACGTAATCGAGGGCGCAATTTTTAAGTTCATTGTTGCCAACCATGGCCATCGCCGAGCTGATTAACTGGAATTTAAATTTCCCGCTGGGAATTCAGATGGTAGCTCTGCTGTAAAAAATGTCAAGTTGACACATTTATTTATTTCCTGATATTGTCATTCGTTTTAACACTTTAGTATATTCTTTGACTTTAGTAGATAAGACAAGAGACGACAGTGAAGAAAGAAGTCGAATTTCGCGAGAGAGACGCAGATATATCAAAATTTAAAGGTCCCATCAAGTCCCATTTTGTCTGTTGCCAAATATATTTCTTTGAAAAATAAACAAAATTTTCTGAAAATAAATTAATAATATAAGGATATAAGTAACGTATGTTAATACGGAAATGTAAATTTTTAGTTTAGGTTGGTTTAGGTTCTTTTTTCGCAATGTACTAATAATATCAAAGAAACAGAATGACTAAGTTGATCGATTTCAAAGATAAACAGATAAAATCTGACAACGGCGTATTTTATTTATTCTAACCTATGATTTTAGGACGCTAATCAGCTGTGCTAATCAGGCTTAAACATAAACAAATCTGATTAGTTGTTTTCTTGCATTTTTGCCTCTTTCAAGTGTGTTTTCAGAGTTTTTCGATATATTATCATTTTAAGAGTTTTTAAGGTTTAATTTTAGTATCGTTTTTGTTGCGTACTAATTTGTAATTATTGTTAAATATGAATACTGAACAGGACACGAGTAGCAGGAAAAGACGAGATGGTGGCAATGTATGTGCTTATAAAGACTGCAAAAATAGGTCTTATTCTTCGACAAACATAATATTTCACTCTTTTCCAAAGGATCCTAAAAAGCGGAAGCCCTCCGTTTTCTCGGTATTTTTATAGAAATATACTATATAATTATGTTATTAAACCAGATGTAATCCATAGATCGAAGACATGCTTAGAAGCTTGTAATATATTTTTACAAAAAAAATTGAGCAACTCTATTTTTTTGTACATAAACTCCACATTGTGATATTACACTTGTTCAAGTCCATATGTAAAAAAATACACGTAAATAAGACATTTCTTACAAATCGACTTGGTCATTTTATCTTGTTTACCAACGATATACAAAATATTCTTCTAATTATAATTTATTTTATATAAAATTTAGAAAACTCATTTTTTTTTCGTTTCTATTTATTTCTTTACCCATACAGTAACTATTTATAAGCTATACAGGCAAGTTTTAAATTTCTCGCGAAAAAATTACGAAAATTTAAAGGGACAAGCGAGACGAGGTCACTCTCCCCACCACTCAAACATGAAAGGTATCGCGCGATCTGTCGTCTCTTGTCTTATCTACTCTTTGCTTTAGTTTTGTATTACGAGTTTTTTGTTTAAATAAATAGTGTTATGATACTTTAAGCTTAAAAATGTTTACTAGCAGACCTTGCAGTCGAACATAGTTCTTTTAGAACCTTTTTTAGTGCGAAGTATATAAGATGTAAAAAATTCATTGCAGCTTTATTAGAATATTTTGAACGGGAAAACGATAGTAATGACCCTTTATAAAACTCACCTTCTTAACAGCACTCAAGGAACAAGTGCTGTTAAGAAGGGGGAGTTTTGTTGATGTAAGTAATAACTGTTAATATATTTATAATTATTTTTTTTATTTCATAAAATATATATTTTGATTAAAGAAAATGTGTAAAAGTGGGCAATGTTGTGCCGATCAAGCTTATTCACGTGACTAAAAGTTTATTTGATATGAACTATATAGTATAGTATTTTTTTCGATTCTGATGGACGAGAACGAAAAACGAAAAAAAATCCACCATTGAATTAATCATGGAAAAATTGTACTTCAACAGATAAAATCCAGTTATATTTTAGACATACCTGAGATATTTCATATAATCCACTATTTAATGCAGCAATTGCTTCTTTTGAGTTAGGAATCTGATCTCGCATATTAGTTATTTGGTCTAAAATAAGTTCTTGTACTTTGGCCACCTCCATTTTATCCTCTAAATCTCTTAAGAAAACTCCTAAATATGGTGCATAACCGACTTTGTCACTACGCATACACATGATGGCTCGCGCTAAATACACTATCCGTTCTTTTAGGGTCACACTATGTCTAAAAATAAAATGAAAAATATGATCCATGCAAATAGTTAATATTTTAAGTAATTTACCCGGTTCTCGAGGCTAAATTGTTTAATATTTTGGCAGCTGCCGCATGGTTATTATTGCTTTCATAAAATTTCCATAAAAGATCCATTACAGCGATATTATCTGGCGTCTGAATAGATGTACGTTTGAGGTAATTTTCCAATGAAGGTTTACCGATTTTAATCAGATCGTTGGTCATCTGTTTACTAACCATCCACTCATAAAGAGCTATATGCATTAATTCATCATCATAAAACAAGATTTCATCTATTATTTGATGTAACTAAAAGAAAAATATACAATTTTTAGAATTTAATAACATCGTTGATTGAAGAAATAAGAAGATGCGCAACCTTATGGGTGATTTTTGCGGCACAAAACCTGTCCGAGATGTAGCTGGCGTTACCGTCAGCCTGTCTGAGAATTGCGAGATTTAGTTTAGCCCTGCGCTGCTGCGCGCTGATAGTCGTTTACAGCCAAATACGTTTAAATAAAATATACGACGGCCTCCCCATAAGAGCAATGAGAGGATGTACGTCCCAGTATTGAAGGAGAACAGAAAATCGAGTCGAATGGTTTCAAGACATAGGTTCATCCTTGTTTAGTCAAACCTCCTACAACACAAGGATAGACTTATGTAAGAAATGCATTGAAATTCTATAGCCATCCTTCAATATCGAGACAGGAATTTAAGCGGTACCCTCCGTATGCTTTATTTTAAACGTATTTGTTTACAGCGCAGCGGATAAAGAGTAATGTCCTGTTAGTTCTGCTTTCAGTCGACAGAGTGAGTGGTTGCTAAAGACAGTGTTGCCAGAACTACTGATTAATCCGTAGATTTACGGATTTTGGATACAGTACGTTAATAATACGGATTTTTTATCATTAAACAATTTAATATAATATTATATGAAGAAACAAAGAACGGCGTCAGACTTGAAGATTTAGTTGCTCAAAAATGAAGATCGCTGTTATTTTATATGTAAATATTATGGTCAATGTCAATAATTGTCATTTTCAAGCCAACCAAAAGATTTTTTTTGATAATACGAAATATTCAGTCCCTATCAGAGTTGGGTAAGTAGAAAATTTTATATATTCTACAGTATTTTTATACACGTAGAATATTAATTTTATACACCAACTAATTGTCTACATTTTCTGCATGTCCATTTGTAGAAAATTAGTTTTGTATAATGGAAGCCATTTTTTGCGTTTATATTTGTTCTAAATACTTTAACACAATGATTAGTGCAAAAAATAAATTAATAACAAGAACTCTAATCGTTATTATTATTTAAGAAATGGATAATAATATGTCATAAAACATTAACTATGATTTTATCTATTATTTGAAATAGACATTAAATTTATTCTGATTCAATAATATCAACAGATTGAACAAAAACTACGTCTCAATAGTAAAACTCAAACGGTACAAGAAAAAAATATATAACACCTAACATAATGATAAATAACATTAAAATTAAAATTGAAAAAGAGAACCAAAACTTGTACTATAAAATCAGCCTTTTTCTGCGGTCTTCAGATTAAACAGAGTGAAATATTCTAGTCTTCAGATCGATTACTGCCTCTTATCTTCAGTAGTTAGTACTGTCATAGAACGGAGACGGCGCGGCGCACGCACGTATTACAGTTTTAACACAAATAGAATTTACAGAAAATATACCCAGGAGGAAACTTGTAAAGGGAAAAAACAGCTTTAAATATACAAAATTAATTTTGAACATGTACTTGGATTTTATACATTTTCTACTTAATATTCTACATATTCCACATTTTCTACGCATTTTTCTACATACAGGTAGAAAATTAATTTTCTACGTGTCGTTGCCCAACCCTGGTGCCTATAAAAGAGTTTTTATTTTTGTCGTTTATTCCATGTTTGACACAAATAAATTTTCAATATATAAACGCGGATTTCATCCAAAAATATTTTCGTCAAATGTATTACAAACACTACCCATTTTAGTATGGCAACACGGTCGCTTTCAGTTCCACACCGTTTTCGTTATGCCTTCGCTGGCTAAATTAGAGAATATAAGTGTTTTATGCGTTGGCCGCAGAACGATTGGTGTCTCCACCATACAGCACTTGAGACGTAAGGGAAAATCAAATCAGCCTTGTCACGAATTCGCCCATTAAGTTGCTTATCTTCCAAATTCTTTCAATCAACGGTAACGTCCATTTATAATTACAACTAGTTTGCTCCATTGGCCAAAACCAATTTTGATCATTTTAATTTAGTTGAAATAATCATCAATGCTAACATTTTCCAGCCAAGAAAAGATAATTATTAAATTACATATATATAAATGTTTACTTACAGTAGTATCTAACTTAGTTTCTCCCATTCCTTCTAAAAGAACAGATTTGCTATTTGAATAATCTGGTTCAAAATTCTGCTTGACAATTGGCTCTTGTTCATTGTAAAGTGTCTCCAACATTACTACTATTTCTCTATATATTTCCATCCTAAATAACAATACAAGATAAATAAAGATTATTACGAAACATTAAGTAATAAACTATACCTTCTCTGATAGTAACTAAAACCTTCTTGATCTCCAGCGTTGTCATCACTATTATAAAAGTTTCCACCAATATTATCTGGATCTAATTTATGTGCACAAAAAGCACACAATTCTATAACAGCCTTGTAAGCTTTCAATGTTGTAAATTGCTTACAAACTTCAGGTAGATTTACATTAGGAGCTATATTTTTACATAACTGTAATGCAGATACTAGCATTTCTTCCTTCTCATCTGTATTTTGTATTGTCCTAGTGGTTTTTAATAATTCGCTTGCCTAAACAATAGAAAATATTATTAAAGAATTTCCACAAAATATATCAACAAACCTTTGAAAATGCAGCATCTTCTGGTTTGTATAAATGAGGACATACTTCCATCAATTTGTTACTTATTGAATCAACAGAAGCATTATCTCCGAGATAACTATTCACAAGGGTGGTAATCAAAACACTACAAATATCTTGCCTGTATAAAAATAATTCTTTAAAAGTTATACTCTGAAGAATCTGTTGTTGGTTTTCAGGTAAAGATCCTAAAAATAATATTCAAAATCATACAAAAGTTGACTTCCATATTAATTAATAACAGTGTAATAATAAAAATGAAAAGAATTATACCGTGTAAATGATTTAAGTAATGATGGAATCACTCGAGTGAAAAATACTCGGTCACCCGAGTATTCATATCCTCGGTATGACCCGAGTATTTTTGTCGATCCTCGAGGATTATTCGGCACGCAACTAACATCGGGTGTGGCTTACCGTCCTCTCTGTTCGCGAGGATACAGGCGATTGACGATTTATGCTGAAACCTTTTATATACAGGATAGAGGATAACCGTTTAATCAGTTGCTCGAATATCGCCGGTAATATAATCGGTTTTCAAAGTAGTAACCTGCATTTTTGAACAGAAATACATTACTTATTTTTATAAGTAATAATAAGTGATATATTAATTATAATATTTCTTTGGAACGTAGGTGTAAAGTGAATGAATGGCAGAATTTGCCAACAACAATAATAACAATATTGCTGTATATTTTATTTCATTTTTTTTTCAAACACTTTTTAAGGCGACAGCTGACTCGTTGTAAGCCTTAAGTAAAATTTCAATACTTAATATTTTTCTATTATGAGGGTCCACAAGAGAAAGAGGTTGAAAATCCGAAACAATCATCATTAACATTTTTTTTCGATTATTAGTTAAGCTGTGCCCAAACAATAAACTTTTTAAAACTGGATATTATGTTGAACAAAAATTTAAAATATACGCAATAACAAAACATTACCACAATTTATTAGGTACTACAGTTCATTTTCGGTGAAAACACGCTATTAAAAAGTCAAACAAAATATATTTTTTATCTCAATGACCAACCGCCGACAAAGAGAGACTCGAATTACTTGGTTTCATTTGGTCTGAAAGTGTGCTAAAAGGCTGCCAGATTAGCCTCAAAGTCGGAGTTTAAGAAACAAAATCAGCACTATTTAAAGCAAAAACTATGAAAATTTCCCACATGAAATTATACACGAAAATATCAAAAATTATTAAAAAAGTGTTTAAAATAATTATTTATTTTTATTACAATATTATTAAAGTCATTCAAGTACATGGCAACAGTGTGTTAAAAACAGCAAGCAAAATCACTAACACCCAGCAGCGAGTATTATTCAGGTTTCGATCGAGATATTATACAGAGAAAATTTTATGACCGAGGATTCCTCGGATGATCATCTGATTATTGAAATCCTCGAAGATCAATACTCGAGGATTGAAATCATCCGATTTTTCCCAACACTAGATTTAAGTGCAAAAAAATTCAAGATTATAGCTTGCTGAAATAAAAGTTCTTCCCTTGATTATGTATAAATAGATATACAATGAGGGCTTAGTAAAATCCTGTCTTCTAGATGGCGCCTTGCCCGTTCTGCATTTTTGTATTCCCCTACGATTTTCTCTGAGGGGAATCCGTTAAACAAGCGTTAAACCCGCCCATCGTTCAAAAATGGAAGGGCGCGAGGTCACATCTATTGGGCTACTTATTAGCACGTTTCACGCATGTTTTACGAAAATAGCTTTATCCTTGTTTGTTTCAACTGTGACAAGAAAAAAGGAAAAAAAGTCATATTCGTTTCTAAATTCGGCAGTTTTGTTTATCTTTCTCGACTTCTGATTTCGTTTCGTTTAGGTTATGTCTTAAAAAATAATTATTTATAAGCTTTTGAGTTGAAATATACCTTAATGGATATCTAAATAATTAAAAAATCAATTTTTTCGTCCCTCGCGAAGAAACGAAACAGTATTTTTGAATATTTGGATTACAAACTATTATTTTATGAGTTTTATGTGTTGTGTTTACGTGGTGTGTAATGTGTATTTTGTACCTGCTGGATAATATTTTGAAACATATTTAATTAAACAAAAAGCATCTGTATTACAGGTGAGTAAATACTGTTCATATTTATTTCTAAATTCATATAAATTTGTTTTTTAAATCACTCTTGGTTTTTAGAGTTTTTATCTTAGAGTTTACCTCATAGAGATCTGAGATAAGTTTAATAATAAACATTAAATTTGATAGATTGATAGATAGATTAAACGATAATGGCCAGTTGACTTAAAAATTTAAAAAATACTGATTTTATGCTATAAATTATGTTTCATTTCTTACTTTGCTTTTTTGGAACTGTCAGATATATTGTGTATTTTATAATTTTTCTTAATTAATAACGTAAAATATTGTTTATCTACACTCAACCCTGTGTTTAGATAAAGCTTCATATCAGATTTCCTATTTTATATTTTCACTCAAATCATATTTTTGTAAAATAGGTATGCTTGCATGCAAAAGTAGCGTAAATTTGACAGGGAGGTATTTTTATAGATATACAGGATGATTCGTAGATTTAAATACATATTTACTTTAGAGTTGTATAGTTTGTCAAAAGAAAAGCTATATTTTTTATTTTTTCTTGGTGAATTTGTCAAAAAATTGTCATTCCAGAAAATACTATAATGTCGTAATCGTATAGAGTTCATTTTGACCATTTTTGGATTAAATTTTTTTGTTTATATAATAAAATATATATTTAAAGCCCTTTCTAAGTTAAAAATAAGTAATATGGAAGTTTTTTACTGGAACTAATTTAAGGTAATGTTCTCTTCATATAATTATATAAAAATATGCTAAATTCCTAAATTATTTATATGATTAAATTTTCTTTATATTATTTTTTTTGTATTATATACAGGATGAGTCAAAACTATATATTATATTTTTCTTTGCTATTTCAAATGGAACACTGTATTTTATATCATAAATCAACAAATCTTTTATCCAACTTTTGTTTTGTTAAGATCTATATCCCAAATTAATAGTTATTGAATTGTTCTCAATAATTGTCTCTTTGAGAATAAACATGACTTGTTTTTCGCAATTTTTATTAGTAGGTTTGTCCTGTAGGGTGGTGTAGTATGTGATGTATCTACATATTTATCAGCGACAAAAATTAAGAATTAGATGTCTAAAATAATTGCCTAATTATTTTTTTACTTGGCGTATCAGTAAATATTATTTATTTTATCGCTGCAGCTCAAAATAATTATGTATTCCAAAAGAGGACATTACTGTATAAGTATCGATTATTTGGATTTAAAAATTATTTTTCAAAACAAAGTTGGAAAAAACTACGTTTATGTCATAAAATGTGGAGTTCTGTTTGAAATAATCGAGAAAAACCCAACATCTAGTTTTGACGCCCCCAGTATATATCATGCATTATAGTTGATTATACTGCAATTTATTATACATACGTAGTTTTGTTTGGTGAAAATGAAACTTTCTAAAAGTATTCCCAATTAAAACATATTAAGAATTTCCTACATTATAATTTTGACAGACGTTTGAGTGGGCAGACAATTTGGCACTTTGGTACTCGCCACTTTAACCAACCATTGGTGGGACCATGGTAGGACCTTCAGAGATTATAATGCGAATTTTTCATACTATGTAAATCTATATACATATATTAATAAATGCGTTTGTTTTATTAAATTTGTTTTCTTATACGGTATGAACGAAAAAAACGACGTCTATTTGTTTACGTACAAATATATGACATCGATATTCAGTTCCAAGCCACCTCTGACGCCGTTTTTTTTATCGTATGTTATACACTTACATATCCCTTATCCTTTAAATCCGATTTATTTCTAATAATTATAAAAATAAGATACCTGATTGACTCTTCCGAAATATTATAAAATGAGATATCAGGAAATAAATAAAGTTAATTATCCCGTTTGTTTTGGGAATTCAAATATTATTTTTGAGTATAATGGGTGCTTCAAAAAATGTGGCGGATATAATGTAACATGTTTTTTAATGCAAAACTCTTATTTATAACTTTTATTTTATTTTCGATTCTGCCTAAAATTCTATAACTTTTTTTATAAATAACGTCAGTTACAATAGTATTTGCAAAAAAAAATTATTCCTATGTTACATAATTGTCAATTGTTTCCGAAGTTGGACTACACAAATTTGGTAGGAGTGTTTTACAGAGCTATGTAAAAATACTTGGAGTTAGATGCTACACTGTGTTCAAACAGTTTTTTTTGGCTGATCCTATATATTATTATTTTTTCTAGTGATTTTACAAAACCTTTCAACATTTGTTAAGAAAGTATATTAAGTACATCTATACTCTATACAGCTTGCAATCTGTTCTGAATTTTTCAATTTTTATCCTTCTTTTACTTCATTTACACTATAACAAGTTTTGCCATGACAAAACAAAAATTATTTATTATTAAGCATTAAAGTAATTTATATAGTTATATGACATTATTAATAGAAATTGAAGAATTTTGTAAAATCTATCAGAAAAAATTATAATATACCGGGTGTTTTTCAAAAGTGGCTTGATTGACGTATTAAATTAGTTTCGGTTATTTCTTGTTTCACCGGAAATGACTACAACTTGGTTTTTAAATGGTACCGTGGTATTTTTTTACTTTATTTGGCAGAATATGGCATTGTGAATAGAATAATTTAATGTCAACTTTTGACATATTTACTTAAAAAATTATATTTTAAATTACAATCTAGAGTGCCATGATAAAAAACAACATGTGACCGGTCGTAAAGGTAACGACAGTTTGACTCGATATACGAAGTGTGTGGTACCAAATTACCTATTTACCAGGTACCAAAAAGGAAAAGACACAAAAAATATTAGACGATCAAATCAATTTTTCCGAAGCTCCTTGATTAAAAATTAATGGTTTTAACACTGCCATGTTCTAACACTAGATTGAATTTTAAAATGCTATTTTTTTAATTGAAAATGTCAAAAGTTGACATATGATATATGTCATTCTATTCAGAATGTCATTTTCTATCAAATAAAGTATAAAAAATACCGAGGGTACCATTTAAAAATCAAATGTTGTACTCGTATACATTTCCGGTGAAACAGGAAGTGACCGAAACTAACGGAATACGAATTACACGAAAAAAAATCAAAAGTTATAGAGGTGAACCGCTTTTGAAAAAACACTCAGTATAGGCTGCATCATTGAAAGAATCTGCAGATATTTTTCTATTTTAAATACGTAGTCGAATTTAAAAAATATATATTGAACACCCTGTAGCATCTACCTGAAATATCTACATATAAATATCTAATATTTTTTCTTCATCAACAAATTGAAATATTATAAAACTAGTTTTAGCTTACACCATTATACAAGAAATATACGTAAAACAAGTAATAGAATTTTACGCAGAATCTAAAATAAAATAGGATGTTACATTTAAAAAAAACATTATGTTAAATCCGCCACACTTTTTAGAAAGTTACAGACGTAGGTAGGTATAGTTTCATATTATATTCTTTAATTATCCATCTAAAAATAAAATATTTATATACCTAATATAATACTTTAGTATCCAACAAGTGGCCATGAAAATCAAAATAAATATAAATCCATGTCCAAAAATAAAAAATGTAAATAACGCTTTGAGGTATAAATTCTGTTCGAATCAGATAAGATATTTTATTCTTTACCGAGAATTAAATTCGAAGAATTCATAGTCCCTACTTCTTTGCCAAATTCAATAGTCTCCGCCCCCTTTTTACGTTTTAATTTCTGCCACCAGTTGGCAGCATCGACTTATACAGGCACATTGACTAACTATTAATATATAAACAAGGGTTCTTCTATATAATTTTTTTCTATGCAATGTTTCCTATAAAGTCATTTGGTATAGGGTGATCAAAAAGCACTATATTCTCGCCTTATTTCAAAAACTGCTCACTAGAAAACTGAAATTTTGTGTGTGGATACGCGAAACATTAGAAATCGAGTTATTAAGTAGAACGAGTTATTACATCTAACAGTCAATTTAGAAAATATTTTTGACTCTGATTTTTTGACATATTTTTTGTAAATAAGAGTAGTTAGTAAGGAAAAAATATAATTCCATACTAGTAATAGCATTAGAACAGCACAATAAATCACAATATTATCGTTTTCTCAAAAGTTGTTAAAGCTAAAAAATAAATTTATTGTGTTGAAGGAACTAAAATTTTGTACGCTTTGGGAATGTCATATACAGAGTGTTCAAATACTACTTACTAATTTTTATTCAAAACGTGTAAAAATATGATGTAGGGTAGAATCAATAATTTGTTGTTTTATTTTACATTGTCACATGTAAATGTTGGTAGTAGTCATACTATAGTACTTAGTAACTCATACTATACAGGGTGTTTCTAGACTAGTTTAATTGACTAATTTAGGGTGTGATTCGTTTTTGTTTTTAAGAAAAAAACTTTATATGAGGTCTAAAGTCGAATTTAATTGGTTTAAAATAAATGGTACGCCACTGCGTTCTTTTTTAAGAAAATAATTTCTTTTTCTTGATTTTCAATATGTTTTAACAAAATTAATCTCTTGCGTTTTTTTGTACATTGAACGGTTTTTGAGAAAAAAAATAAAAAAAACCGCTCGTTTTCTAGCGATTTAAGATAGATAGGTAGGTAACTAGATATAAGGTAGTTCATTTTCTTTCTCGAAAACCGTTTAATCTACAAGAACTCAAGAAATCGAACTTGTTAAAAAGGGATGGAAATCAAGAAAAAATGTTTTCTCGAAAAAAAGCAATGCCGTACCATTTATTTTAATCAAATAATAGAAGGGTGTGCATACGCATGCCACTGGTTCAAGAAGGAAAACATTAGAATGGAAATGAACTCCCTTTATACCTGAAAACCACATACCAAAATTGAAGAAAATATCTAAAGTACATAGTTTCCAAAATATTGCGAAAAAATCGATTTTTATTAGCCTAACCTAACCTACCACCCTGTAGATCTGAAAAGAAGTGCTTTAGACCCCAATGTTGTTATAAACTCTTTTACTTAAAAACAGATAAAGAATCACATCCTGAAGTATTTTGAACTACTTACGAACCATCATGTACCTACTATACTATTGTTGCTAAAGTCTATCCAACGAGTCAGAGAAGATTTCGACGACTTTCAAAAAATTACAGAAAATACAATTCATCTGTGAATTAAATTGATCGACACAACTGTCACTGACATGTATTCTCTCGTTGGACCAACTATAGTGATAATGAAACAGGATACACATGATTTAATAAAAAAAACACAGAATACATATCTTTGTAACTTACCAACTAATTCGTGAAATTGATGATCACAAAGTATCCTCCATAGACCGATTATTTGACAACAATGACAAACAAAAGTTTTTAAAGCATCTAACGAATGCCTCTCTTCTACCTGTATATCCTGAGGAGTAGGATTCATATGAGATGTCGTTAGAGAGTTAGCCTTAATTGTTGAATTATATTGAGTAGATGCATTATATGTTGTTGAAAGTTGTGTATTTAAGGACAGAAAATTGTGAAGTGCTGTCAAATTGTTAAGAATCTGGACACAATCTTCAACAGTAATAGTACTTTGGTTCTGCAATAAAAAATAGTAAACCGAAATAAACATCTAGATAAAAAGTATACACAAATAAAGAATAGATACATAATACATATGAGTATAATAAAAAATATTAGTACTAAGGACAGGTAGATTTTCGCTTAAACACAATTACACAAATTATTTTAGCCATAAAAATTATTTTATATTTCAAGAAACGTCTCCCAAAAAAAAGTTAAGCAGTTGTCTAGCTAAAATGATAGAAAACAACTGTCAGTCATATACCACCTAATTCGGCAGACTATGTATGAATAATAGAATGTAAATGTAAACATGATAAAATTGTCTTTTAGAATATTGTAGCTTAATGGAGATACTAATAAATATTGAGTAATATCATACTAATAAATATTGTAAAATAAAAACAAATAAAATATGATATACTAGCTTTCGTCAATTATTAACTGTATCAAAAGCTGTTTGATGAAGGATTCAGTATATGGGCTGTATCTGTCAGATAATAAGATATGTTCGTAAAGAATAGCAATAAAGCCCATTTTAAGTTATAATGTGTATTAATCAAAAAATAAAAACATTAAATTAAATATAACATCAGAATTGGGATATCCCCTTGTATTAAGGGGATATACCAATTGACGCGAGGGAATGACTATAAATAGTTCTCCCTAGGTTCCCAAAATATTTTTGGGCAATACTGTCTCTTAAAGATTTACGTATAAACTAAGATTTAACCCAAAATATTTCTTCTAAGCAATATATTGGGCAACGTTTGTACAGGGGTTTCAGAGATATTTGATATCTACAGGCGTACACTACGTCTATCCCTGTAACTAAGGGGCATCGGTAATGGAGGAAACGAAATTCTCTGTAGCGGGCAATTCATGAGAGTGCTATAAATATTTTAAATAACATTACTTACTAATATAAAGATTTCAAAAATACTAAATCAGTTTTTTTTCTCGTTTTTCCACATAAATGAAACATAATCTTTGTAAAAATTAAGAGAAACAATAAATTTAAGAAAATCACGCAAATATTTTACCGATAACGACTGCACTGTTCTCCAAACTCGGGCTACTACCGTTTTAATCGATCTTTCTCCCTCTATTAATTGAAATTTTTATTGTGCAAACTCTCATCAGGTGGCGCTTCATTTAATTTCTTAACACGGCAGATGCAGTTTTGAACGGGAATATTTTGTGATCTGTATTTGGTCACACAAAAGAATTAAATTCAGCTATTAAAACGATTTGATTATCTCCTACTATACTGTATGCATACTCACCAGAACAGTTTTCCCATCTGGACAGATTCTCTCTACACATCTCCTATTCCAGACTGGTCTCAATATTCGACCCAAATACAAATACAGACCATTGTGTTTATTTGAATAACTAATCAAGTTTGCAGGATCGAATGTCTGCTGCGGAATACTTTGAGAAAAACTACCTTGTAAATATCCTGATTGAGAATAGGCTCCACCAGGCGACTGAGGTAAGAAGCCACTTTGCTGATATTGTGGAGGTGCGGGAGTAGATATTATATTAGGTGAAAACATTGTGGTACCTGAGACTAAAATATAAATTAATATTAATATTTACTTTAATATATATTTCATATCAATTAAACTTTTAGTTATTTAATCCCGAGCGCGATTTTTAAATTCAGTGTCGCCAACCATAGACATATTCCGCGCCGTGCTGACTAACTGGAATTTAAATTTGGCACTGGGGATTCAGGTGGTAGATCCGCTGTAAAAAATGTAAAGCTGCAGCATTTATTTATTTATTTTCCGACATTGTCATTCGTTTTGTCACTTTAGTTTTGTATTACGAGTTTTTCGTTTAAATAAATAGTGTTGTGATACTTTAAACTTGAAAATATTTACTAGCAGGCCTTGCAGTTGAACATTATTCTTTTTAGAACCTCTTTTAGTGCGAAGTGTACGAGATACCTTAATAGCCGTAAAAAACACATCGCAACTTTACTCGAATATTTTGAACGAGAAAGCATAATGATCCTTTATGTCCCTGAAGTGCTGTTAAGGTGAGTTTTGTTGGTGTAAATAGTAACTGTTTATATATTTATAATTAACTTATTTTTGTTTCCTAAAATATTTTGATTAAAAGAAAATATATAAAAGTGGGCAACGCTGTGCTGCTCAAGCTTAATCACGTGACTAAAAGTTTATTTGGTATGAACTGTAGGTATACTCAGTCAGCAATTGAGTAAATAAAATCTACATCTTTTGTGAATCAAAGTATATTTTATTTTTATTGCATTGAGTCTATTCATCAATATAAAATTATACAATTTGATCGAAAAAAAGGCGTCAAGTTAGCTTCGAAATGATGATCGATAACATATAACAAATCATTTTACTTATAAAATTACAGCAAGCTTTGTCATAACAGCATTTTTAATAAAAATGGCGCCATGATAATGAAAAAAAAAATAATAAACAAAAAATAGACAAGTAGATATTGATAAATAAAAATAACATTTTTATATTAAAATCATAATTTAAAGATATATAAAACAGAATTTATACATAAGCTTTTAAATAATACAGTTGAGGGTTGGAACCATAGACTTAAAATAAAATATAGACTACACTATTTACATCTCAACGCGGACAAACAACCTTTTTTGTACACATGTTTACTTCTTGGTACAGTCGACCGAGCCTTCCTCATCCAGCCTATGTTGTCACGTCTTTAATATTATCAATATTTTTTTTCTTGTTATACACATATATTGAGATATTAATACTACAGTTTAATAAAGTAGGTTTTAATATTCCATAGATGTATTAAATAGTCCTTATACTACTAAATTATAAGTCGGATACTGTTTAATAAGGATAAGTTCTTTACAATATGACAACACCGATTAGAGGCGAGGGAGCCTATTCATTCATTTATTACCTTGTAGTACGTGTCGCACGTGTGCGGTAAAGCTTTGTTGCCGCTATCTCCCCGGCTGTATTAACGCATTTTCTTAGCTTGTAGTCCTTAAGTGTTTATTTTATTGACTTTTCTGTTCAAAACTATAAAATATGGTTCGCCAGTGCCAAATTTGCAAGAAATTTGACTTAAATAATCCATTTAAGTCTTGAAACGACTTTTGACCGGTAGGCAACTCTCAATTTAACCATTGGCAGTCAGTGGCGTTGTTGTAGAAAGGCGCTTATTTAGATAATATTTTAGTAAAATGTAAAATCTGAATTTTTTCTTTTACATTACATTATTTACTTACTTACATTGTAACAAAATCATAATTATAACCCTTTTAATAATTAATAATGTTTTTATTAAAAATATATTCCGGTTTATTCTAAAATTATCTTCAGAATCTAAAATAACATAAAAGAATTTTAAAATGATATTACATTATGAAACAATATTTTTAATATACCGGGTCGTCTCAAAAGTGGCTCAACCCTATAACTTTTTTATTTTTCAGATAAAAAAAACAGATTTGTATGTTAGTAGGTATATGACATAAATTAGGATTTATTGACGTATTCAATTGTTTTTGGTCTCTTCCTGTTTCACCGAAATGATTACATCTTTTGATTTTTAAAGGCACCCTCGGTATATTGCTACTTTATTCGATAAAAAATGACACTCTTTTGAAAAACTTTTGACATTGTCGCTAAAAAACATATCCTATTTTAAATTTCAATCCAGTTTTTTTCAATCCACTAAGTTTTAATCAAGGAGCCTTGGAAAAATAGTTTTGATCGTCTAATAGGTTTCGTGTCTTGTCTAGGCCGGTTAAAAGATGTACAAATCGTATTTTTAATCATACATATGTCAATTTTTTCAAATGGAACAAGGGTGACTCATTAGCATATTTGGAAAAAGCATTTTTATGAATATATTGATACCACACACTTGGTATTTCGAGTCAAATTGTCGTTATGAACCGCGTGTTACAATTACAATTAAACCATATGCGAAAATGTCAAAAGTTGACATATGATATGTCATTCTATTCAGAGTGTCATTTTCTATCGAATAAAGTAGAAATATACCGAGGGTGCCGTTTAAAAATTAAAAGTTATAGTAATTTCCGGTGAAACAGGAAGTGACCAAAAACAATTGAATGCGTCAATCAATCCTAATTTATTTCATATACTAACATACTAAATCTTGTTTTTTTTATTTGAAAAATAAAAAAATTATGGGGATGAGCCACTTTGAGACGCACACCGGTATAATAAAGACAGTACCGAGTTAAATAAATGTAGTTTTTATTTTATCCACTTCCTATCACCTTCCTTGCTTTAATGGAACAGATTTATGTTTTCTCTAATTTACATAATAAGACATCACTTAACCAGAAAAAAAATTACAACAATCATATTTTTTTCTCTCCCTGTCGCCGATTCTATTATATCTGTGGAATAGATCCTGTTTTGATTAATATTAGGGGTTGTAAATGTTTGACTAAAATTAATAATTTATTATTAATTTCAAAAATTACCTAATTTCGATTATAAAATTTCTTCTATAACGTGTATTTTATTATTTTTATCCTTTTGGACTAAAAATATGAATTCAAAGAAAACCACTTGCATAAACAAGACCGGAGACCAGACAAAGCTTTTAACACTTTTTAGAAGTCACAATTTAAAAGTTTATCTCGGTTTATCTCATGATTGACCCAAGTTGGATCTAAGCGTTCGTAAACGTCAAACAGCTGATCACAAGTTAAGAAGTAATCTGTAATCAGCTGACGGGATCTATCCAATCTAGGATTATTAATTCCGAAAACCCCTAGTGTTGTGTTTTTCGGCAGAGTCGTCAAGGAACGACCGTTATGACAGAGACAACCTATCTATCGCTCGTGTCGCACTCGTTATAACCTAAAATAATAACACAACAATAACAAGACAGTGTCTGACCGCATGTTCCAGCTATTTATGAATGAGATGCTCAGTCTATATTTTATTTTAAGTCTATGGTTGGAACCTTTGGTGTTACACAGCAAAATAAAAACACTAAATCACCACAATACATCAAAATACTTTTATTTTTACACTGGACGCGCGTTTCGCTAACCATGGTTAGCAAAACGCGCGTCCAGTGTAAAAATAAAAGTGTTTTGGTGTATTGTGGTGATTTAGTTTTTTTTTTTATTTTGCTTTTAAATACTGATGAGTAGATAACTGAAAATACTTACAAACATTAGTCTGATTAAGGGGTGAAATTTTTGGTTCACCTCCAAACATAAAAAATGCCCTAGTGGCCAATTCAGCAATTTCGGCATTCTCTTCACTTTCCAAGGAAGCCAAAATTAAGCTTGTGGCACACGCCTGGCTTTCTTTTTGAATCATAAAAAATGCTCTAAGAGCTTCTGTGTCTTGGCCTATGAAAGACAAAACAAATAATAGATAAAAATGTTGTCAGTAATTGCGAATTTACTTACCGTGACTATCTCTTAAAATTTGTCGAAGCAAATCTACAGGTCTTAGTTTTATAAATATTTGTACACTATGTGACGTTAGCACTACATATTTTTTAGGAGCTTCCCCATGTTGTCTTACTACTAAAGGTGGAGCTTCTTGTTGATCTGGGCTTATTTGCAAATAATTATTGTGTCGCACCTATTTAAAAAAAAACATAGTAATACTACCGCACAATCGAAAAAACAAACGGTTCAAAGACCGCTGGGGATGATAATCGATGATAATTTTGGCGAGGTCAATACCTAGATGTCATTTAATAAAAATTGACATAAAACTTGCCAAAAATTAACACTAATTGAAGAGTGGAAATACCAAAGGGGATAAGTAAAACTAACTTTGAAAGTGGTATAATGTGCTTATCAATCAAACTTACATGATTGCAGTCAAGGGTAATAAAGGACCTTTATTGTCACGTTCTTATTTAAAATAGTTTATCAGGGAAGATACAAGCTCTTTGCTTCAACTGTTTAAATGCTTCGGCATATTTTCAACACACAATTTCAAGAAATGCAATACAAAAACTCGAAAATTTAGTTCTTAAAAGAACTGTTTGTGCTTAAGTGCAATTTTTAAAGAAATACTATGAAAATAGGCAAAAAACGAGAATTACTCACAAAGATTCAACAACAACACGATATTATACAAAATAATGACTGACACTAGGATAATTGTCAGATAATGAAGGACAATATTGCTAGACACGGCGCAATGTGACCAACATAGCTATAATAAAATTCGGTTTAAACTAATTTTTGCAGCTTGAATCTAAATAAAATACCTGTTACAATAATTTGCTCTATAAAGTAAAATGAAGAGCTGCTCGGTATCTTAAATTATACAACAAATTTAAACATTTTTGCCAAAATTTAATTTAGTCAGGTTTATAGACTTTAGTGTCAATGTCGATATGATTGATGACGTGCATCGAAAAATGTTGTGCGATTACAATATAAACTATATTTTGTAGTTTTACCTCTGCTAAAGCTAGAGCTGGGCCATCTAAATTAACTGTAGTATAAGCTTCCATTAAAGACTGACTGAAGGGAAATAAGTCAGAACTTAAACACCACAAAACATCCTTATCTTTTACATTGGATATTAAAATCAAGTTTCTGTCTCTAAAAAGATTACAATTTATTATATACAGGATCCTACAATAGTGTATCAAACATATCCTATAAATACTACCGACGTACTCCTATAAAAAATTATTTAAAAATTTTGACTACTAAGACACCAGTGGCGTGTCGTATAGGGGGCCAGGGGGGGGGGTGGGGCGAACGCCCCCTCCGCCCCTGTCGGCTTAGCGCCACTGGCGCCCTTTGAAAATAAAATAGAAAAACTAAATTTAACGCAAAAATAAACGGTGCCCTACCGTGCCCTTAGCTCTTCAAGATAAAAAAATGACGTATATATTTCTCACATTTTATTTTTGTTTTTTAATGTTTACTTAGATTTAATTATAATATAAATCTCTAATGAAGTAGGCGTATACGTACGAAAGTTTTCATATGGGTTTGAAACTACGCCACCGCTAGACCATTGTCTATAAATAAAAATACAATGGCTAGACATAACCTTGCGCCGGCGCCGCCAAAGAAGAAGATGAAAGCAGTCGCGATGGAAATAAATTCGGGGAATCACCGACCGAAATATAATCGATTATAATGAAGTGCCAAATAAAATTAATATATTGTCCAATCACTTGCAAAAGGTTAATATCAACTTCTGTACAGCTGCTCATATGATTACTGCGGTAATTAAAGATCTCAAATCATTAAGAAGTGAAAAATATTTTGAAAATTTTAAAAAACAGGCTACTATTTTGGCAAATAAATGCAATACATCAACATTATTTTCCACAAAAAGACAAAGAAGAATAATAAAAATTCATGATGAAATCCAGAATGATTACCTACATCAAAATTCTGAAGATAATTTCAAGATATCAGTGTTTTATGGTACTTTAGACATTTTAACTGGTACTCTTGAGGATAGTTTTAAAGACTTCCTTAATATATGCCAAAAATTTAATTGATTATTGGATATGGACGTCAATGATGACAATTTAAAATGTCTTATGGATATACAGATATTGTACCAAGCGGATGTTAAACCTTCTTTAGTTGAGGAATATAAACATATTTGCAGTTTATTAGAAGAAATTAATGCTGATGACAACAAACTTGCACCTGACGAATATTTATCATTTTTAATTTCCAATAACCTACGGTCTTCATATCCATCTTTATGTGCATTACTGAGGATTTTTTACACCATAGCCACAAACAGTGCTGGTGCAGAACGATATTTCAGTAGATTAGGAAGAATTAATAATTACCAGAGGACAAGAATATTAAACCAATATAGAACCAATTATTTATCACTTTTCAGTATTGAAGCAGACACAGCCCAGGATCTAAATATAGGCGAAATAATCGATTCTTTTAAATCGGTTAAAACAAGACGTTTGCATCTTTGAAATAACTGTTTTGTATACTAACTTTTTTAATAAACAAATTTATAATTAAAAAAAAGCTATCATGCAGTCTTATTATTTAAAAAAAGTTTGTAATTTCTTTGATCCTTTATTGATCATTGCGCCCCTTAAGATCTTCGCCCCCTCCGCCCTTTTATCCACGACACGCTACTGTAAGACACTAGGAAGAATTTCAGATAAACATACTACATAGTACCTATATCAAAAACTGCGAGTGAGTAAGAATAATTCTTTAAATAGAACGCCCTGTATATTATTGCATTATTCAGTGCATAAAAATTTCAAACCAACCGCCTAAAGCTTGATTTTCATGCATCCGTTGTCCGACGATACGTTGATAAGATATTAATTTTATTGGTTGGATTTAAAGACTTTGATTGGTTAGAAAATAACGCAGTTTTTAAATTTATTGCATTTTCATGCCTCCGTTTATCGGATATACGTTGGTGTCATTTTATATTTTCGTTTCCATAACGATTTTGCTATTTTACTTATATTTTTATTAAGGTTAGATTAAATTTGTCAAAAAAGTGTCAAAACGTCCGTTATCGTATGAACGGGTCCGTTGACGGACTGAAGTAAAATATTTACGGATAAAAAGTGGCGCGAAAACGCAATGACCAATCAGAGCACCGTCGGACCAACGTATAACAGATGCATGAAAATCAAGCTTAAGTAAGCGTTTAAGAAAAATGTTGCATCTATGTAGGGTAAGATCTTTAATTTTCACAATTAATTAGTCAGTTTACTACAATTTAATACATTACTGTAATAGACTCTTATTAAGTCTCGGTCTCAGGACTACGTTGTGTCTCTAGCAAAACTACAAAAACAAACAATGATAGTTGATAGTTCAGTTACCAAAGTCAAAATTAACGGCTGTTTGAATTTTGTACAAATTTTATTGGTTCTATAGAGTGTAGCCCGTGATACTGTGTAGTCTTAAGCCTCGTTCTCAGAACGACTTCGTGTCGCGGGCGACACAGTTTGACATTTCAAACAACCAATGGGAGCTGTACTACTTTATGCCCCGTTCTCAGAACTTCATATTGTCGAGCGACACGTCAAAAGAACCAATGAGCTTTGCACAAAATTCAAAATTCAAACAGCTGTCAATTTTAAATTTAGTACAGCTCCTATTGGTTGCTTGAAATGTCAAACTGTGTCGCCAGCGACACAACGTCATTCTGAGAACGGGGCTTTAGAGTCTCTAAATAAAGCCACCTTAAAATACAATTACAAGCACTGTTTCTGAACTAATCTGAACAACTAATGAATATTTATTTCTATGCCATTTATAAAGTATGACTGCAGATATTTTATTCCCAGTGACAAAGCAACTGTCTAACAGAAATGAGCATTATTAAATAGGTTAGATATATTATCTTTGTTTACTATGTTATTTCACGTACGAACCGGCAACACTGTATGCCGCTTTTTATTTTATCTCGGTATCAACTGGTTGTATATATTTATCTTTGTTGTATGCATTAAAATATAGACCACAGAAATAGTGTGACCATATACAGTATGTCCCCGGATTGTCTTTACAATAGGAAAACCTTTTTTATTATGACATTTTTAGAAAAATGCATTCTTCAGATTTTTGCTAATCCCGTTTATACTTTTCCAAATTTCCATACCGTTTTAAGGAACATTAAAAAAAACATGAAAATATGGTAATTTTTTCCTAAAGTCCTAAAAATTAAAAGGCGTTTCAATGGTAATATAATTTCGATCACATTCATAGATGGTTATTATTAATTTTGATTAACATATTTCATATTTTTTGGTGTTGTTAAAGTATCACATTTTCCGATAACTATTATCCCCCTTTCCGTAGCATTGAACTAAATAATTTTATGCTTCTTTAACATTTTAAAACAGCATTTTGGAACTTTTTGAAAACCATTTTAGAATAAGCAAAAATTTTTGTGAAGAATGCATTTTTCTCAAAATGCCAATAATAAAAAAGTTTTTCCTCTTGTAAAGACAATCTGGGGACATACTGTATGTTTGAAATTGGAAAAAAAAATCTTTAAAAAAACTAAAAATATATGGAAGTTCCGTTAAAAAATGATAACTTACAACTTTTTCTCAACTTTTTGACTGGTTATAATATTTATAATAAAATAAGTTCAGATTAACTGTAGTAAACAGCTGCTGTTTTGATTTCAGGATGTTTTGATATATTTCTATATTTAATTATTTTGTTCTTAAATGCTGCAATTTCTTATATTTATTAATAATATATTTCTCTAAAACGTTGAAAAGAAATGTAATAAAATCCTAGGATTATTTATGGAAACAACCTACAAATGCAATAATATACAAGGTGTTCCATTACAATAAATCCAGTGCCACACACTCACACATTTTTAAGAGACCCTGTGCAAGTCACTTGCTCTAGTACACAGTTTAGGTCTGCACTGAATCAAAATTTCTAAGTTCATTATTATAGGAGCTACAGATATTCATAGCACTGTTGTAGAACACTATATGTTTGGAGTAAATAGATATGAATACACTCTACATATTCACATGTAAAATATTAACAATGACACAAGATATAACAGAAACTCATCATTCGTAAAATATTCTTTAGAAGGTTAAAGAGTAAGTCAAAATAAACGTAAGATCATCATCATCAATTTTTCTGATCCATAAATTATTATAATAACTTTTATATAAATAAAAGTAATTACTGTTATATCTTTAATAATTTTTAGGTATATTAAGTGTCTGTTAATTAGTCTTACCTGTAGTGACTCATATGAACACTTCTTGGCCTAACAGTAACATTGGCTGAATAACCTGGTGGCAATCTAACATGAGCTAAAGTTAATGTATAAGGCCTCTGATTAGGCTGTTGATTAGATAATCCTACAACTGATAGATAAAATCTAACACCTGTTTGAGTGACAGCTACAAGATTTAGGTTTGCAGATTCATAAGACTCAATCGGAGAAATACTAATGATTGGTCTAAAATTTTGACTATCTAATGTCCTATAACAAAAAAAAAAGTTTTAGCTAAAAATATTACATTAACAGCTTTAGATAACTAACTACTATTTATATACTCTTATAGGTATTTGTTTTAATGTAAATAACCTGCTTACTTGACAGTATTCATTGCTTGAGTAACTAAAGTGTTCTGTGTCATTTTACTAATCCTTGAGAAAGTGTTGCATTTCTCTCCTAAATCACATACTTCAATTGATCCCTTTTCTGTTAAAGTATACATTATATTTCTGCTGTCATCAATAGCAATTTGAACGATACTGTCTTCTTCGCTAAGAGCAGCATTCAAAAATGAAGGTACCAAAAATGATAATGCACTTGTGGAAAGATTAATCATTTTACAGCGTTTTCCAAACCAACCACTTTCAGCCTAAAAAAATTGAGTAATACATACACCTACTCCCCAGGAAAATTGTTTTCAAATACCTGATAAGATATTTCAAATAACGATCCTTCCTTGCTTCCAACAAATAGCCTGCCATTTGCAGTTGCAGCAATAGTAGTAATAGTATTTCCATCAGTTGGGAGTGTAAAAACAGGGTCAGATATTAACTGAATCTCTTCCAAGCCACTAGTACTACCTGTTAAATAAAAAACAGTTTTAAAAATGACTTTCACAAATACTTAATGTCACCTTCAGTAAAAGTAACACCCAGCACAACAATATCAACTGCAGTTGTTAAAACCAATAAGTACTTAATAAAAGCATGAAATACGCCAGGCTTTGGCTTTATTAACCCAACACATAAAATTGTTTCATTTATGCCATCAAAATAGGCTAAATCAGTATTTTCTTCGTAAGTCCAAATGTAGATATCACTGTCTACTGTTAGCCAAGCACGATTTATTTCTGGAAATATTCCCATCATACAATGGCACTGTACATCTTAAAAATTAGTTAAGAAAATAGGTCTGTAACTATAATTTTTTAAGACACATTATTTTCTAATCTATTAAAGGATACGACTAAAATGGTCTACAATTTCTGGCGGTAGCGGAACATTATTTATTGTTTTAATTTGAGTTAAATTACTTAACGCCAAAGGCATCCCATTTAATGAGGGGTAATCATGATCTATCAAACCACTGGCGGTAGACCCACTCTGAGGATTGATATTCATAAGATCTATAAGTCTAGGGGCACCAGAATCCATAGCAAGTGACCTATCCACATGTCTAGCAGCTACTTCCATTTTTTGAATAGGAATTTGGGTGGTTTCTATAGTAGGATTTACTACAGAACTCGAATTTATCATGATTATGGCTAGCGGTAAAAATTCTTTTTAACCTAAAAGTAACTAATATACTTCTATTTTCACACAATAATTTACTCGACTCTAGTAAACAAGCACAAGCGCCAGCTTAAAATTAGTAAAATAATGATTATACAGTATACTATAACATAAAACAATGAAATTTAATAAAATCATAAACTAGAAAATTTGAACGAAATTGACATTATTTCTGTCGTTTTCCAACGAGTTTTCAGTCAAATATGGCATATGTCAAAAATGGGGATGGAACAACCTTATATCTCTGGGAACAACGTAAAAAATTAAAAAAATAAAATGGCATAACATAAATCATCAACTTTTTTAAAATGAGTTTTTTTAGGTACCTTCTTATGTCTATATCTCTGGGGGTAATACGTCTCTGGGTACCTTAAAAAATGATATTTACGAATGAGGCCATGAGTTTTTGAGTTTACAGTTTTATACCGTATTTTAGAACAAAAAGTTCTTTTTGCATTTTACAGCGTTTCAAGCTTAGATGTTAAACGAAATTTATAAAATCGAACGTTTTAAGGTTCCTTACGTGACTCTATTCAAAAACTTTAATATTTATGTTAATTTCTCGTATAAAACTATTTTTACACCAGAGATATGGAAGTGGGAGAATGAGCTTCGACCAGGGTTCGGAAGTAGTTAATTAAGACGTAATTTACCTGATTAACTACGTGTAGTTTTTCTTCAAAAACGACGGCTTTTCCCGTTCATTATCTACATGAAAACTACATTAATAAACTATGTATTGATATTCTGAATAATTTTCCCTTGTATGAGATGAAATAGAGATAATATGATGTAAATATTATATTTAAAGCCATATTTCTTCTGTTTTCTTAAATACATTATGTGTTTTCAAACCTTTTAGACTCCATAAAACTGCCATTTGAATTTTGGAAACACGGCGGAGTTTCTGCCAGTAGAGGGATAGATGGCGCTGCGTAGAAATTTCATCTAAAGTCCCTAGATATTCATCTAGGGACTTTAATTTCATCATGATTTTATCAAGTCATCCACAGAGTATAGTTTAATTAACAATTCGTTTGATTCTCTGTGGAGTAATTGGAGTAGTTGGAGTAGTTGAAAAATATAAATATTTATATAAAATGTTGATAATTTAACAGTGATGTGCTTTGTTACCCTATGAATAAACATTGATATGAAGTTGCTTTCGCCAGAAACAATTATAATTAAATAATTTAATAAAAATTAATTTCTAAGTGACCCGGATCAGTTAGATCAGTAAAATAAATTGAAAAATAAACGTCATTCCATATTTGGCAATGTCTGTCAGTTTCTGTGAAGTGGAAGTGAATTGTGATTTGTTTTTATGGGAATATTTTACGGATTTTTGCGAATTTAGAGTATTTTGGACGATAGGATTGTGAAATTTAAAAGCCAAGTAGTTTAATATATAAGATTAATTAATCCCTGTGATAATTTTTATGAAATTTCTCATAATCAAAACAAATTCTTTCAACAAAATGGCTGTCTCAGAAATTTGGAAGATCATTAATTTTAAAGTTTTATTTAAGTGTATTTATATCGAATCAAGAATTTGTATAACATATTAAAAGCTTAATTTTAAAGGTTGTGCAGTAATTTATGTAAGTGTACGCTTTTAGATAAATATTAAATATACAAATTTGCAAAGACAAACAAGTAATTTTAAAAAGATCATTTATTTATTTAAACGAGTATAATCATTAATCATTAGGTTGAAAATATATTTGTATTTACTTATTTATATATTTTCTATACCCTTGTATTATTTATAAGCCCTATATGTCCTGTTTTATTTGAAAAAAAAATGCTTCGAGTCATCGAGAATAGATTTAATAACAATTTTGTCCCTTGGCTTTGTGTATTATATAATGTGAATTGTAAGATGTTTCTATTTGAATAGGTCATTAAAGTTGAGATTAAAGTTATACCAAATTATATTCACGGTAACTATATGTCTTTTATATAATGAATTATTTATTTATAATTTATAACCTTTTTTATAATTACTTATAACTGATTGTAAAATTCTGATAACTTTTATATATACTTGTATAGTGTTGAATGTGTTATTATGTAATTTTAACAATGTTATAATAAAATAATAAAGTTACAGATTTTTCGTGTTTTATTCTAATTTCAGGGATAATTTCAACCTAGATTATTAATTTATTTGTATCAAAATACATTACTTTTATTTTGTAAAATGTTTTGTTACAAATAAATTCATAATCTAGATTGAAATTACCAAATATAAGTAAAAAACTTATGAACTGGCAGTAAAGGTCCATTTAAAAATATGGCGCGAACTTTTAGTTCTGCCAGTAGCCCGCTTGGATCGCGTCGAGCGCGTGTTTCCAGGCTTTAACATAGGAGTTTTCATTTCTTTCAGTTAGTTATTCTATGGCAGACATCTTCCAGGTCTCGCTGTCACTTCCCCTCTTTAATTGACATCTGTTTGTTTTGTTTTTTTTTTTCGTTCGTGTTGTTATCTAGTTAAAATTTATTATTATCTATTCAATCAGAGTCTCAATTATTCTAAACACTAATTCAAAAAGTCTTATTGTATATTGTCATAGTCATTCTAAGAAAGCTAATACGCCGGGAAAAATGATTAGTTTTCATGTGTAAGTTTATACAACATAATCGTGTTTACAGATGATTCAAAACTGTTTATTTTTAACTTTCCTAAAGGCGATTTGTAAAAATCGTGATTGTAATTGGGAATGGTCAAAAATAAGTGTATGATGTGGCCATTTAAAGAGGATGTTTTTATTACGTGTGGAGGAAGAAGATACTTGGAATCAATGTTCGTGGTTCTGTAAAACAGTGCACTCTTATAGTGTCCATGAAAGCACAAGTTCAAGTGACCAGAAATATATCAAATAAGATTGGTCCTTACTTGACAAGAAGATTATTTGGAGGAAAAGAAAACATAAGATAGGGTATTTTAATCGAACAGCGAAAATTTAACATTTTTATTGTAAAGTTTGTTGTAGGTAGTTGTAGTTTTGTGCTAAATATTTCTAACATTAGCAGCGGCTGTGTTCAGAGTGTCAAGAGGAGGAGAATTCAGTTAATTAGATTTATGCACAGTTACAGGTATGAAGGCTTTTTCAAACATAGTATCGAGTTCTATAGTCAACATTTTTAGTATTCCTACAACTGTAAAAACAAGGAACATTGGACTGGAAAAATGGCAAGATTTATATAGAAAGAAAGGGTATTATGCCAATAAGAAAATTAAATCTGTAGGCAGAAGTTTCTTATTTAAAAACTGTTATGGGGCATATATTAATTTGTATCTCTGCCACAAATCACTGAGAAAAATCATATAATATTCATAATTGTTAACGAGATGATATTTAAAGAGTGTTAAAAATGAGACTATTAGTCATGAAGCTTACAATGTTACTTTGTTTCAATATTACACTTTTATTCTTGTAAAATCTATGATGAAGTTCAAAAGCATTTTGCAATGGCCTTAAATTGTGAGCCAGGATTTATAGCAAAGGTATTTGATGCAATGAAACTTAATTGGTACCTTCCAGTATGTATTTTAGTAAGGGGATTGTCAATCCCATGTTTTTAAATAGATAAAATACAGGCCAAAGTTGACAATATTACAGTTGAGAAGAAACTATTTTATCTTAAAAAAAATTTCTTAAAATTCTGAGATCATATAATCTAATTTTATTGATGACAAACCATAATGTGTTTACAAACTTACCGGTAACAGTTTTTTTTATAATAAAATATTTAGGAATAATTTGTGTTGTTTATCAATATATTAATGACTTGAATTTTGACAAATTGAATTTGTATCAAAATAATTTTACGAAATATAAAATTGATGTTCTATTACAAGATTGAGTTTTTATTGTCGACAAAAACCAGGATAAATACTAATAATAATACCCTTAATAAAATCAATGATGTTTATGTATTATGAAAATATTTGTCAGAGGACATATTATGTAACAGTTTTTGAAACACAATTTGAAGGGACGAATAAAAAAAATAAAACAAAACATATTTTTCTAGGTTTATATTAAAAATACAAGGTAGGTAATCATCAAAAATAATTATGAACCAAATGTTTTTATGAATATACAACTTGAACAAAAGGTGTTTAGAACAATTTTTACCAAATTTGCAAAAATTTTAAATTGAAACGCGTAATTCAGTACAAGTAAACATGAAATATTGTAAATACTTATTTAATATCATTTCGAGTGTTTAACGACGAAAAGGTCATCTGTCCGTAGCGTCTTTTGTCAGAATATTCGTATATTTAGTGTATTATATACCAATATTGTACGCAGTTTTGAAACTGATAATTAAATAAATCATATTAATGTTAACCATGTTAACTAACCATAATAAATGATAGAATTTCACTAAATTTAAATTGCCCCCCGTATGGTTGAAAACAGCAAATTGATATTTGATTACTTATAGATTACCACCTATATACAAAATGACAGGAAGACCTGGAATATGGCGCCCAACTTGATTAGACCTTCTGCGCATGTTGACGCTCATTCTCTATCCCTTCTATTTCTCTGTTTTACACGCCCATCCTTGTTTGGTGTTTAATAAAGCCACAGAATAGTTATAGCACGGCATATAAATCACACGGCAGGCTAACTCTCTTTGGCGGGAACGCTACGCGCATACCGTCGCGCACGCCGCCATTAGGGTTTCCGTTATGGAGTGTAGAGGTTTGATTTGGTTTGGTTTGGTTTGATTTGGTTTGATTTGGTTTGATTTGGTTTGATTCATACCTCTACACTCCATAGTTTCCGTCAACAGAAAGTAACCAGTGTCGTAGCTGTGGTCGTAGTTTCTTTCATCGACTGCGCACACTTTCGGCTGATTCGAGTCAGTAGCGTACGGATTAATTTATTTTGTTTATTTCTTGAGTTATATTTTATAGTAGTTGTTTTATTTTTGTTTATTGTGTTATATATTTGGTTTTTCTAGTTTATTTTCGTTTCTTGTGTTATATAATTTATTTTTGTTTTTCTGAACATTTTTAAATCGTTAATTTTTACGTGTTTTTAAAATGCCTGGGCGAAGTTGTGCAGCAAAAAACTGCCCGAGTAGAGGACTAAACTGCAATAAAAGTTTCTTTCTGTTTCCTAGAGATCCGATTAGGTATGTATATACATATGTGATTAATTATTTTAACATATTTTAGTTAAAACAACAGTAGTATACATATTAGGACATTCAGCTAAATAGGAAGATCTAATTAAAAATCTTAACAAACTTTAATATTAGTAAGATTTAATGTTAAATATTTAGTAAAATAAAATTTAATGTTTATCTAGAATCTAGACATTATAATATATAATTATATCTAGACATTTAAATATAATTATAAAAATAAATAAAATGAGTATATCGAAAATAAGTTAACAATACATTTTTAGGGCAAGAACATGGGCAATTGCAGCTAACGGAGAAGACTTGATTGAAGATATAAATAAGGCCCACAAGTACAGGTTGTGTTCTGTTCACTTTGAATTTAAAATGTTT